CGATTTTCTCAGTATTAACCATGCTGGGTGCTTATGTGTCTTCTTTCCACCGAGGACCCAAGGTAGCTGTGGGGAAGAACCAGAGGCTTAGGAGGGCTTGAAGAGACAGGGTGGTTCAGAACTGGTGGAGTGAAGATGGGTGAGGATTCTGGGTGGACTGTCAGGCTTGGGGCTGTAGAGGTGATAGCCAAACAGCTTTGGGCTTAGAGAAAAGGCAGCAAGTGAGGCAAACGCATGAAGAGGTGCTCAGTGTTTGGGTACGTAGTCTACGTCTACCGTGGCATAGAAGAGCAGGGCTTGGAATTCAAAGACTCTAACTTGAGTCTGCATCTACTTCCCATAACATGTTGGGGAAGTAACTTCCCATAACTTGTTGTTTTAACTTTGGCACAGTGGCTGTGCCTTCATCTGCTGCTATTTTAGTCAGGAGTTGCAACGCCACAGTTACCGGCCTGCTTCTCCGGCAGTGTGGCTCAGCAGTGCAGGCTGCAGCCTGGTGGGATTCTGTTCCCACAGGCACTGGGCTCTGTGGCTGCTGTTAGCAGTAGCTTTAACTAAATCTCTGTCACTCTATTTGTAAATGAGACTCAAGATTCAAAGGATGGGGTGAAAACCTGCTCGTTCAGAAAGGTTGAGTAGAAACTAATTAATTTTCTGTCTTTTCTGGCATCTCCCCGAGAGTATGTCCTCAGCCACACCACTCAGAATTCCCCCTATATTACTTCCTGTGTCCCTCTGTCTCTTCCAGATGCCCTCTGATGCTCTATGATGACTTTCTGCTCACTCAGCCCCCTGACCCAAGGTTAATTTTATTTAATTAACACCAGTGCAAACTCGGGGTTCACAATTTGGTTGAATATCCCATAACAGTCTTGGGCAATAAATACATTGTGGTCTCTCAGCCACAGCCAATCCCAGTCTACTTACATGCAAATGTGGGCGTGGCAACATTGACCTCATCTGATTATGGACAAAGTTCACGGTGAGTGGCCCAAAACTCATTAGACGGAATCCACGGCTGAGGGCGACCTAGTACTGCTTAATCCCTGGGAGCCCAGGAGGAGGAGAGTCCCCCTTGGGGTTCTCTTTCATCCATGCTGGGTCTTCTGCGAGTGCAGCAGTCAGTGAGGCTTGTAGAAACAAACCCTCTGCTTCCCTTCTAGGGCGGAGGGACACTCTTGTGGAGAAACCTGTCCTACCCGCAGAGCCCCCCGAACCAATCCTCCATGGCAGCATGGCCATCGGCGCCGTGTCACTAGCTGTTATCAAAGCCAGTGCCCACCTGACCAGTACCCCCCTGTACATGAGCATCACGTCACTGAAGCATGGCCAGGTCAGTGAAGGTTGCATCCCATCGCTGGCTGCGTGGAGCCTGGAGGGTGGCGGCGCCAGCCTGACTGCCATTCTCATGCTCCCTTGCTTCCCTGGTGTTTCAGGAGCAGCCCTCGAACTTCTCTATGCCTTTGCTGATGGGATCTGTACTCAGCTGTGGGAAGTCATCGCCTGGGAAGCTAAATCTCATGAAAGAAGTGATGTGCATACCCCATCCCGGATTAACAGCCAAACAAGTACCCGAGATCAGCTAAGACAGTTTTCCTACCCGCCCACCCCCCAATATCTTCCACCATTGGTGAAATTTGGTGTAGACCAAGGGAAAGCGCATCAAATATACGAAACCGTATTTTAGGAAATCGGCAAGAAGAAAGCAGGGCAAACAAAAGGAAACAGACCCTCATGAAGTTTGGCTTGGTCCATGGCTCGTACAAGTGGCTCACAGGAGCCAGGCTTGTGAAAAGCCGTCATCTTCCAGTAACAAGAGCATCTTTACTATAGGCTGTAGCAGGGGCTTGGGCTTCCCAGCAACCTATCCTGCCAAGCAAGAACTCCCAGCCAGCAGACAGCCCAGCACCCACAGGGCACTCAGTGCTCACCTGTGAAATGAATGTATCCAGTGTCAGCTTCCCCTCAGTGTGCTGGTGTGGTGCACTTTGCCCTCCAGTGTCCCGAGAGTCACGCCTCCCTCGAGTCCCCTGCCAGTTAAGCATTAGAAGTAACTACCTAAGGTTCTATCAGAAGCAGCAGAGGGAGTTCCCCCCAGCACCCCTCCAGCAATGTGTGAAATTCCCCTAGCTTACCAAAAATAAGCTTCATGGAAGTTTTACTCGTGCTCTCTCTCTCTCTGTGAAAGAAATGCCTTTTAGACAAAACTATTATTCCCTCACAATTTACATTTCCAGGTGACTAGAGTTTACATGTGAGGCTCAGATTATCTGTCAGGTCATATGCTGACCCTGTTGCCCGATCCCGCACTTAGTTGGTACAGCTGTGCACTCCACGGGCTGCCCTTCATCTTCAGGTGCAGAGGTCCCCACAGACCTGTTTATTTTTATCTTATGTGTATGGCGTTGTGCCTGGATGTATGTATGTCTGGGCACCCTGTTTAGACAGTGCCTGGGGAGGCTGTAAGAGGGTGTTGGATTCTCTGCAAATGTTCTGTAGATGATGGGAACGGAACCCGGAACCCAAAACCCATGTCCCCTGCAAGAACAAGTGCTTTTCCAGATGGCCATCTCTCCAGCCCCAGTGTCCTACTTCTTAAGTGACAGAGGATTCACACTACTCTAGCCAGGCCTCCTTGGTGACCTGTGACGTGTATTTCTATGTTGTCCAGAGGCTATGATAAAGAATGGTTAGCCAGTTTTCACAATGAAGATGCCAAGGCAGAGCCTGTCACTCACACTCAAGCCAAGTCAGAGATTATCATTTTTCCTCTCACTGTGTGGACCACCTAAGTGGCAGTCCTCAGTAGGGAGTCCACACTGGCCCTCAGGGTATGCGTCTCATGTTTAAAATCTGCAGACTGAAGTTATACACATTGGCTGTTCTGCTTGCAGGGTATAGAGTTGCTTCTGGAAATTCAGAAACAAATTAACAGAATGATGGAGATGGTACGTAAAGGGACCCTGCGGTAATTACTGACACGCAAATCCAGCTCCTAGTTCATTTGGGGGTTAAATCAGCATTGCTGATGTTGCTATGGAGAATGCATTTGTTTGCTTTGGGTTTCCTATCCAAACCAAGTTGTCCTAGCTTGCTTTCTTGTGCTGCAATAAACGCCACAACTAAAAGGGCAGCATGGGAGGAAAGGGTTTATTTGGTCTCTGCTCACAGGTACCAGCCCATCACTGAACAAAGTCAGGGCAGGAGCCTGGAACTGAAGACTCGGAGGGATGCTACTTACTGGCTTGCCTCCTCTAAGTTGTTCACCTACCTTTCTTTTTTGCATAGTCTGTACATTTAATCACTTTAAAATCCCTCACATTATCTTGGGTCCATTAAATAGAACCAACAATGCTCGGCCTGTTTAAATTATAAAGGGGTGTGTGTGTCAACATACAAACACAACCAGGATGGTCCTGCTGGAGTGGGCAGGAGAGGAGAGGGCACCTCTAGGGAGGTGGCTAGGAGAAAGGCAAGTGGGCTCCCAGGTGTGAGGGCGATAACTGTCCTAATGGGGGGGTCCAAAAGGCACATGAGATGGGGCTTAGGGGAGCAGTGTATGGATGGCACCACACACTGGAGGCTGGACTCTCCTATATCAATTAACAACTAAGAAAAGCTTCACAGCCAGGCGGTGGTGGTGCACACCTTTATTCCCAGCACTTAGGAGACAGAGGCAGGTGGATCTCTATGTTTGAGCAAATTCCAGGACAGCCAGGGCTGTTATATAAAGAAACCCTGCCTGTCTCAAATGCCCCCCAAAGAAAGAAAATGTCTCACAGACAGCGGCCACAGCCAGTCTAACCTGGGCAGTTCTTCAGAGTCTCTCCCTATGCGATCTGGGTTTGTGTCGAGTTGACGGTTGAAGCCACCTGTGACCTAGTGCACCCATTGTTCACTTGACAGTGGATCTGTCTTCAAAGGTATAATTCATTTTTTTTTTTTTTTTGTTCCCGAGACACTGGCTCTTCGATAAGATCACCCTCTAACATTTCATGATTTCTGGCTCTCTCCAAAAATCAAATACACTCTGATGATTTTTCTCTGAGAAAGCAAATCCCACAGTGGCAAGTAGTAGTTCTGAAGTCTGGGAGAAGATTTGGTATCCTCCTGCCCAAAAGCAGTTGTGCACACACATCAGGAGTTCCCAAAGTGACCTGTGTGCTTGGAGGAGAATCCGTGTGTGTGTGTGTGTGTGCTTTTGTTGTTTTGGGGGGGGGGGTAAAGGGCAGAGGAGGTTGACCTAAACATGGACTTGAATGGGAGAAATAGTCAGGGGCTTTAAGAAGAGCATGTCTGGAGTGATCCCTGTATGTGTGTGCGTGTGCGTGCGCGTGCGTAGAGCTGACTTCATATGCGTGTGAACATGAGTGAGACTCATGTCCCCTAAGAACAGCAAGCCTCAAGACCCACAGCTCTGCTTGCTACACTGGGCTGTCTGAAAATACCAAGTGACAGAATTTTCTTTATCTTCTCATTTCACAGCTCCCAACTCCAAAACCAGAGACCAAAAAGGGGCATGATGCAAGCAAAAGAAATCA